ATATTTTTTTTATTATTATATATATATATATATATATATTTTTTTTTTTTTTTTCAAGACTTGGTGAATTAAGTTAACATTCATTTAAATAATGGTTAATCATTCATCTCATGCATTTTTACCTACAAAAAATAAACACATGAAAAGAATATTTTGTTAGTTGATTACCATTTTTAAATATAACTTTAAAGTCATCATGTCTTTTGAAAAGGAATGATTCCTCTCTCTTTTTTTTTAGTATATATAATTTTTTAGATTTTGTTTGTACTAGCATCAACATTTAACTAATGGACCATTATACACATTGTGGATAATGTCAGATGATAATTTTTGAAAACTAAATATTATAATATTAAAGGTAAGTTTTTGGAAAAACATAAAATTTGTTTACATTTTTAACATTGTTCTCGCGGATATCCTCATATTCATTACTGTGTGTATGAATGTCGAATGAATCTGTTTTACATTCATAATTATTTAAAAGAATTTTATTTTATATGACAGGTTTTATTTAATTTTGAAGAGTTTTTTTTTAATTTTTTTTTTATCAATACACTAAACATGTAATGTCGTCTTTGCGACACACGGTCAATACACTAATAAATAAATATAATAGATAGTTTAAACAAATGTAATATTTATAATGAAAATTATAATTAAAAAAAATAGTAATACACATTAAAAAAATCAAAATAGTAATAAAATCTTTTATTTTCTATTTTTTAAACAAATTTTTATTCTGTGTAATATACAAATTAAAACAGTAGTTATAATTTTACTGGAGTCACAACCAATTATTATTTAAAATTATAAAAAAATAAAAAAACTTTTATATTGGGAAACTTGTCTTTGACAAGAAATTTCAAGACAACTAAGGCAAATTGTCTTGATGAAATCCTGATTATTATTTTTTAATTATTAGATAAAATATTTGATTTTAACTAAATAATTTATTCACTGTTGTCATTATAAAGAAATATTGTATTTTATATCATTAAAAAATAAAAGTTAGGCCCAAAATGATCATGAGAGGTATTAGAAGACGTGAGAGTATGCAGAGAAAAATAAAAGAAGAGATATTAGTTAGGTCCAAAACAAACAAAAATATACAGTTGGACTTCATATTTGCTAGCGTGGCCCATATCCAATTTTCATCATGGTCCAAAAGCTTAATTAGCCTAATTAGCTAAGGTCTGTTTACCTATATTTTTATTTTCTGTTTTCAATTTTTATTTACAAGATTGAATAGGATTAGATTGGATTTGTTTTGAGATTAGATAAAAAAAATTTAAACTAATCTAATTGTGGAGACTTGTGAGTTGAGTTATGTCGATTTTCCAAATTTTATTTAAAAAATTTATAAAAGAAATTATTCATAAGTTGACTCATCAAATAAAATAAATAAATATAAATTATTTAATCATGATGTCATAATTACTATGATATTACCTTGCTACATTATTTTACACTAATTTGAAAGTTTTAAACCTCAAAATTTGAATTCGCAATTTACAATTAAAATTAATATTTACTAATAGTTTTTGACCACCATAAGCACAATGAGGAGATGGTTGCTTAGGGTGTTCATAAAGGGCTTCTACATTGGGTTGAGGACATGCTTTAAGGCCTGCCCAAAAAGAAAGTTTAGGGTTGAGGTTTTTTAATTTTCAAAGAGTTGTTCTCATGAAGGTCTTGTGTTTGAAATTACTTTGCAAAAATATGTTGTTATTTTGTGGGATTAAAACAACCGATAAGTGTTAATTTTAAGTATGAATTGTGAATCCAAATTTTAGGGTTGTAGATTATTGCAAATTACTGCATAGTCCACCACATTCTTGAAGATGACGTTAACCTTGA